CGCCAAACCAAGAATCGAGCTATCTCGGTTCTTGGCTGGCGTGCAAGCCCACACGCCCCTGGAAGCGTATTTCGTTGAAAAAACACGCTTCCGAGGGGCGTGCGATCAAACCCGCCCCTCCAGGAGGGGCGGGTTCGATTGCACGCCCCTTTTAGAGGGGCGTGGGCGTGGGCGTGCGGGGAGGGGGGAGGCGTGCGATTATCAACGCACCAGATTAAGAGTCGACTACTCACCACTTCACTAGCCATCTCGACAACTTATTCACTATTCATCTCGGCGACTTCATCTCGACAACTCGGCACCAATCCGCCTTCTTATGGTACATACCCGACGATCGACAAAAGATACCCTCTTTGGACCATTGCCTCCTCCAACGCAACGTCGCAAACCGATTTCTATCCTTGACCGGAGACAAAAGATCGAATACCAACAACTATCAAAACTACCTCCTCTGCCACCATCGCCACCGCTAACACCGCCAGAGATTGACGGCGCACACTCCCCTCAACCAGAACAACTCACTACACTCATCGGTAGCCTAAACAACTTCAGGATATCCGCTGGTGCAACGACCGGCTCCAATCTACCAAGTCACACATCTCCGATTGTTCCTGACATCGACAACCGACCACCTTCCCCTTTCATATCCCCGATATCACATATTTACTCCCAATTTCTAACCAGACAGCCTTCACCTACCGTCCAACCAATCCCAATGTCAACGCCGGCAACATCCGACATCACCCCCAGAGCTAAATTCCTACAACAACCAAGCATCTACAAGAGCAATGTTGAACAACTCGCCGCCGACAGATCCCATGCTAACTTCTTTGACAAATCAGAAAGCTACTCCAAAATATCCAACCAGGAAAACACCTGTCTTCTCTTTCTCATACAAATCACTATCAATGACAAACTTTCATCACTTGTTGATCAATACACCAAAGGCACTGAGGCCTACAATGCTGTCCAGACCAATTTCCAGGGTACAGTACGATTCTGACAAATGGAACTTATTGATAAACTCCTCGAATTCTGTCAGCCACAGAGTACATGTCACAGTACCTTTCATGTACCAAGTAACTGCAACACCTGTACTTATGTACATAAGTACTTATCCATAATGTTGATTACCTTTACCTCTTGTTATCTTATTATTATCATTAACTTATCTTATCTTATTTACCTTACATTTATCTTATCTGTTAATTACTTATCTATCAAATACATACCTGTGTTCTACATAAGTAATTATCACTTACCTTTCACTCCCTTGTCCGTGAAATACCTGTACCACAAGTTATCCCTCTGCTACAGTATTTTCACAGTCAAATATTATTACAAATAAATATGTACAGGTATTGAATAGTAAGTATTAAGTATCAATAGAATTAATACATTCAATACATGCACTGATCACAATTATGACTACATTATTAGAGGATCTGTTAAGTACACATCAAGAGCAACTAGTACATTGATCAACTAGTACACAATTATGATGTCACTTACAGATCATGACAAATAATGATCAGTCACTCAATTGAGGTGCTCATTCTCCTGGCCAAAGCTCCCTTGATTCTGAGCGCTCATTCTTTCCCCCCTTCAGTATTCTGGAACTTATAATCCGTGCCTCTTTCACTGATTAATCCCCAGAATATTCAGACACCAGTTAAACCAGTTAACATTTATATTGATACAGTACACGTAACCAACATAAATCTAGTCTACATTTATTGTTCTTAAGCTTCAGTACTCTTACTCAACTTATCCACAGTATTCATAGCCTTGCTGAATATTCCCATCAACAATACCTGTTAATCTTCAACTAATTTTGTTAAAGCTTAATAAGTATTGTTAGCCCATTCCCTTTTGGGAATAACCAAATCAATCCCAGGTGAGTCTTAGTACCCTGGATGCCTATTAATACCTTGTATTGATCCGGATGCGCTGTTGATAGCAAGCCTCTCAGTAAAGACCATACTGATAGAGTGAAACCTCCTCTTTACAGGACTGGTATTAATCACCCACTACCTAACACTCACCACGCTCAAAAACTTCAGTCAACTCATAGTAACAACCTTTTTACTATTAAATACTCAGGTTAGTTACCCAGAGGCTGACAAATTCCGTGTTTCCGGCCCTTCAACCGAACCTTCCCAAATCCCCGGCCTATTCAACAAACTATTTGAAACATTCAGTGTACGTACCAAAGTCGGCGCAGGCCTTTCTCCTCTTGTCGAAAGCCTCATTCTTCAAGCTGTCGTCCCCTCTCCGGCCTCAATGTCTCGATCTCAATTATTTCAAAACATTTCCCTTCAGCTTGGCAAGAAGCCTGACGTCACGGCCCGTGACATCCAAACTATCATCACGTTGGCGTATGGCGAAGCCCTCCGTTTTGATTCATCTCCATCAGCAAACGTATCCGTATTCCGCACCTGGCCCAACCAAAGTCAATGGCCGGCAAATTCTAACCCCAACCCAATCCGACCTCCCCAAAGAAACCCGTTTCAACAAAATCAACCGGGATCTCAATCGTCTAACACCGCTACACTCAACAACCGATCACAAAAAGTGGGAAGACCTGGCCACCCAACCATTGACGACATCGCAGCCGCCATCAACAACATCCAAATGGGAAACCGCGGCCCAAGTGACCCCAACATCTTCGCCGGCAAACCGTGTTCCTACTGTGGGACGTCGGGTCACTGGAGATCATCCTGTCCAACTCTGCGTAGGGATGCCAACTTACCACCGCCCGACGGTTCCACGACCAGTCGCCCCGCTTCCGGTTTCGCCCGTCAAGCAGCACCCCCGAACGACCCTCCCACCGCCTCGACATCTAATGAGGCAATTAGATCGGCAGTGGCTGCGGATGCGACGGGTGCTGGTGACGCTGGCACTGTTTTGGATTCTGGGGTGACCCACCACGTGAGCGGATCTTTCCATCTATTTTCTAATTTGTCTAGCCTTTGTCCGCCATTGAAGCTGAATCTTGCCTCATCCGATGGATCCATGATGGCAACCCATAGTGGTCACCTGAAGATAACCAGTGGGGATGGTTCCCTAATGATTCCCCGAGTGCTGTACAGCCCGGAAATGACGGGAATGCTCCTTAGTCTTGGCCAAATGATTGACTCTGGTTTCAAACCGTCCTTTTTGCCAAACAACGACATTCTCCTGACTTCTTCTTTCATTTCTCTCGTTGCAAAATACATCAACCGTTCTTGGCTCATATTCCCTTCTTCCTGGCACCGTAACGTTCCGTCTATCAAATCAATTTCAAATTCCAATTCTCAATCCATGACTTCCCCTTCGTATGACTGGCACTGCCGTCTTGGGCACGTATCCAACGTGGTAGTAAAGGATTTCTTAAAACGCTTTGTCCCGGACTTCGACATCAACCGCTGGACACCCTTCATCTGCAAATCATGTAAAACCTCCAAAAGTGAACAACGCCGGCACGCACTTCCTGAAGTTATACCAAAGGAAAACTGACTAGACCTCCTGGTGACAGACGTGCTTGGTCCCTTGGACCCCAACGTGAAGGGACATCGATTTCTTCTCACTATCCGCGAACACACCACGACATACTCGTTTGTTTTCCCCATGAAGTCTTGATCGGAAGTTCCCGGTATTCTCATTTCCCTTGTCAAGCGCATCTCTTCCCATTTTCAATCTGCTCCAAAGTTCATTCAATGCGGTAACGCAAAAGAGTACACAGTTAAGCCTTTACACGACTACCTGGCTTCAATTGGCTGTCAGATCATTTTCACCTCCCCTTATACTCCGGAGCAGAACGGCGAGGCTGAACGGCTCAGTAGGACTCTAGGCAACATTTCCCGGACGACACTCACCCACTCTCATCTACCTTCTTCTTCATGGTCATATTCCTACAAGTGCGCATGCTTCCTCACCAATTTTCTATCGAATACCAGATGCAAATCGACTCCCCTAGAACTCTGGTCCAATTGCTCGCCTAATGTCACTTCTTTCTACCCATTTGGGGCTCGGGCAACGGTACATGTTCCCAAAGAACTCCAACGCAAACTCGACCAACGTGGCTGGACAGGCTACCTCGTCGATTACCAGGATGACGAGCGTGGATGGTTCTTCTGGGATCCTGAAACCAAGAAGATCATCAACTCTGAGTGTGCTGACTTCCTCGATTTCCAAAACAAACCTATCATCCCCACACCCGAAACATTTTCTGACTCACCTTGCATTCGTAGAATCCTCCACCTTGGACAAGAACCAACCAAAGAAATTTGTGAAGCGCAAGACATTCAACTCAACAACATACAAGCCATCTCAGATGCCGACATACCAACTTCCCTCCGAAATGCCCTTCTGTCTCCGGATGCAGCAAGATGGAAATCGGCATGCATGGACGAATGGAAACAACTGGAACAAATCGACACCTTCGCCGTTGAAGACAAGGACTCCAAACACTCGATCGGCACCCAATTTGTGTTTGACATCAAGAGAAAAGCAGACGGTTCCATTGAAAAACTCAAGGCCAGATTTGTAGTCCGCGAGTTCAAACAACGCCTCAGCATTGACGTTCGCTTGACCTTTGCCCCTACGGCCTCTCTTACGACGCTCCGCATGCTCCTCACGCTATCAATCAAGAATAATTGGATCATCAACTCTTTTGACATCACGGGCGTGTTTGTCCACAGTCCAATAGATGAAACCATTTACGTGGATCCTCCAATCAAACTCTTCCCTCATCTCACCGGTAAAGTCCTCAAACTCAAGAAAGCTCTATATGGTACTTGGCAGGCCAGCCGATGCTGGTGGAAGCATTTCAAGACTCTCCTCCACAGTTGGGATTTCGACTGTGACGAAGTTGAAGAATGCTTGTATTGATACCGGAAAGGCGTGTCCATCATCATCATCTGGATTCATGTCGATGACGGCATTGTTTTCAGCAACGACACGGCTGCTTTGGAACATTTACGGGACAACCTTGAATCTAGCTTACGCATGAAGTGGGACACAAAACCGGAGAAACTAGTGGGACTCAAACTAGATTATTCCGATGGTGCTATCTATCTCAGTCAACGCCTGCTTATCAACCAAACCATCAAGAAATTTTGCAAACAAGTTCAGGACACCATTATTCCGACATACACTCCTCTGCTGGGCGATAACCTGGTAACAAATTGGGGAGACCCGGTATCACCGACCCTATATCAATCATTTATCGGCTCTCTAAATTACTTGGCTCTGGGCACGAGACCTGATCTGAGTTACACAGTTAATTACCTGGCTCGTTTCAGCTCAAATCCCAACGAAACTCACTGGGCGGCCCTATCCCACCTCATTCAATACCTTGCAACAAACAAAGACAAACGATTGAAACTGGAAGTAACAGCGGACTCACTAGTTACTTGGTCGGACGCTAACTGGGGCGGCGAATTCCAACGTTCAACATTGGGTTTCATAATCACTTTCCTAGGTAGTCCGATTGCATGGGGATCGAGACGTCAGAAGGTGGTTGCGACGTCAACATGCGCGGCAGAATTTATTTCACTCGGTTCCTCGGTCGATTTTTTGTTGTTCCTCATACCCATCATCAAGTCTCTCGACCTGAATCCCCCTCTTCTTCTCAAATGTGACAATAGGGCAGCTGTGTTGGTGTCGGACGACAACGCTTCAAAAGGTCGCATGAAAAGTCTCGAACGCAATTTCTTTTTCGTAAATGATGCAGTCCGTGAACATGACATCAAGCTTGATTGGGTTTCCACATCTTCCAACATTGCCGATTTCTTCACAAAATCTCTCCGGACTAATCTTCATTCAATTTCTCTAAATAAAATATTCCCAAAATAAAAAAAAAACCTCAATTTTTGTATTCTTTCTCTATCTCATGACATTTGGGTCCTAATCTCATTTCCTATGTTCTTTATTTGTTTCTTTTCTTTTCTTGTATTTCTTTCCTCTTTTCATCAATTCTCTAGTTTTTTTTCTATTTTTTTTCATTTCTTATTTTAATTTTTGACCTTATCTCTAATTTTTTTTCCATCTGATTCTCATTTCTTTTCTACAATTGTTCTCTTTCTTGATCTCTCTATCAT